TTACCTGACAAGCAAGTTCACGCGTAGGGCAGACAACCAGGACGAGCGGCTCCGCACGGACTTTGTCGGTGAGAGGGTTGTAGCGGACCGGGTTGGGGCGCGGAGCAGCGAGTTGACGGGCCTTGCCCATGAGCTTGGACAGAATCGGGAGTAGGAACGCAGCAGTCTTTCCGGAACCTAGGTAGTGTTAGTAAGAAGCAGAGTGAGTGAGGACGAGGCGACTTACCAGTCTGTGCAACGGCAACAACGTCGTGTCCAGTCAAGATGGCAGGGATGCAGTAGGACTGGATCGGAGTCGGGTAATTGTACTGGCACAACTTGACATTTTCGAGCATGACGGGGTGAAGACCTGCATCTTCGAACTGGTCAAAGTCAGCAAAAACGTACGCGAAGAGATTCAGGCTCATATTTGGACGACTTACGTTGCGGACTGGGCTGATCTTCTCAGCACTCTCGAGAGACACATCGAACGAGAGCGCCTTGATGGCTCCACCGGCGCGCTGGAGAAACTCATCGGCGAAGAGCATCTTCTCGAGCTCAGGATTGGGCTCTCCAACATCGCCGAACTCGTCGTCCCACTGGTATATGGCTGCGTCAGAAAGCCAGACGGCGGTATCGCGCGTCTCGTCTTCAGCTGGAGTGCCGCCGACGACGGTGTCATACTGGAAAGGAACTGGGTTGTTCCATCCAGCTTCCTGGGCGCGTGCAAGATCTTGAGCCTGCTGCTCCTTGCGGGCAGCGCCGGCGTCGGTCGCAGTCGCCTCGGGAGCTCCTGCGTCAGACATGACGATGAGGGGAGAAGGTAGTAAGTGGAGAAAGTGTAGCTATTGCTTGAACGAGATTGCTAATTGCAGTGTGGGTGAGAGTTGGGGATGTGGGGTAAGGGAGTTGGAAGTGGTGGGGAGAAAAGCTTGCGTTGTTTATATGGACAGAAAGGGTAGGAGCTGTGCGCAGTAGCGTCCCTTAGCGCGCTTTCCTGAGGAGATACTGGTGCCTGGGTGACCACGACGACCTCGGGATAAGCGAGAGGCCAGAAGCTTCCACGGCTGAGGTGAGTGAGGATAGGTGAAGGAGATAGTGAAGAGATTGCCCGTATTTGCCCTGCAGTATCAAGATGATGTCGACGTACTGTACGATGACGCAGTAGCTTCTGGCAGCTGTAACGAATAGACTGCCATCTCGTATTACGCATGAGAGACTCGACTCAAATTTGAGAAGCAGCTGGCCATATGAGACCCGAGCTCTTATATCTGGTAACCAGGTATAGCGGTGAAGTGACGCTCGAAGTGATGGCCCCAAGTGAGAACAATAGTGAGAGTTATGGAGATTGCGAGCCTCGCATGAGAAATCCTATCATACTGGAAAAGATGTGTTGGTGGACATGCAAATCGATTCATGATAGTACACGTCTGACGCGCTTGTTGCCGCTTTCTCACACAACAGTAGGGGCACGGAAGAATTGTTGCTGAGAGCAGCGAATAGCTATTGGGTTCCTCTCCGCTTAATTTGAACGAAGGTACACTTTTCTCTCTCTAGAACTCGTGACAGTCAGGGCGCTTTGCGAAGATCATGATTGAGAAGTGACTTGACGATGAATTGGGAAATGTCGATGAGAATGGAAAGGATGCAAGGGGAGATCTTCTTACATGTGCACACTCCGTACCTATTACCGCATGAATTACACGCATAAGAAGGCCAGTGTCTTCAAGACTTCGTGTCGTCTCATATTTCGTCGTGTGGGATCAACTCACATTTCTAATACTGTGCGCGGTAAACGCAACATACAGAGCCCGGACAGACCTGTCGGCACGTAGCCTGACTTTGTACTGTATCATGCCTGTGACATGTCGCACAGCAGGGAGTCGTGACAATGCGGACCTGTATGTGTGTAAGAAGATGTAGAAGACGTCTGCGGCAGTCGTCGTCAAGACGGGTGGCCCAAGGAGGGCACTATGCCTGAACCGAGCTGGCGTACCGTGCCTGAATCATGCATGACGGGCCGACTGGATTGGAACCACACGCGATGACGCGCCGTGCATGCCGACTCTGACTTCGCTCACAGCCATTATACTCGTCTACTTGACCAAGCCTTTCGAGATCGCGACGACAGAATGGTCGTTGCCGGCTATACGTTCCGCGGTGCGCAGGGGAAGGCGCTACTGACAGACTTCGCCGCAGCTTCCTGAGCCCCTCGATCGCTCTCACGACCGCGTCTACGACAGCAATACACGTCGATCTATGTGTCCTACGATAGAACACACAATGCCCTCAATACTCTGCTCATCTTCACGCGATCTCGATACCGCCGACAGCTGCTTCGACAGCAGCCACAGCGCTGGCTTAGACGCGCATACCCACATGGATCGGGGGTGCCTTCTCGTCGGTCATGGACACATAGAGGCTTTAGTAGGATCATGGGAATACAGCCGATAGACAGGGCTGTGGCATGAAGATGTAGCGCGGAGATTGCACACGACTCTCAGGAGTACTCTAACGTGTCGACGACACCACGTAGCTGCATAGGCTCCAGCGACCAGAGCGACGAAGTATCAGATTATTGTACCGCGGGATACAAAAACCTCTTCACTATTAGGGCACACGCCGCCTCACGAGCGACTGAAACTTCTCGTTGAGGAGCACCCACCAAAGGCGGCCTTCACGCGTAGGCCCCTAGCCCGACATCGAAGCTATACGTTTGAGGAGACAGAAACGATCACGGGAACACAGCCATGATGGTGCGCGCTCCCTTCCTATACAAGAGGCCCTCTCTCGCATCCGTCATGTTGGAAGCTGGTCACTGCAATGTGAGCCGCGAAGTCCAAGTCCTTTGAGACGCCGAAGGATACAAAACGTTCCGGAGTCGCATGCTTGGTTCAACTACAAGTTTGTCAGCTTTGTTCGTCATGCGTATTCCAAGAGGATCTTGGTCTCTCCACCAGTGGAAAAGCATCGACTTCTTCCAAGTCGACGTGGATTGGGCTTACTTGTTGCGCCTCCAATTTGCAGGCGGTTTACCCCAGCCTCCCAAGAGGTTGCTGTAACGGCGTGGATCCATGTTCGGATCCCACAGCGACTCTCCAGGACGGAGCGGCATGTACTGCTCGTCGCCCCTGGGGCCATCAGGAACCGGCTTCTTCCTCCCCACCTCTGCAAGTCGAAACGGCGGGTATCGCTCGTTGACCTTGGGGACGGTAGGGGCCGCCTTATTCACCACCACCTTCTTCGCCTCTTGCGCCGCTGCCCTCTTTCGCTCCGCCTTCTCTTGTTCCACCTTTTGTCGTTCCTCCCTCTTTGCGAGCGTGACCTTGGTTGGCTCGAAGCCGCCCAGGTCGAAGCGCTTGGTCTTGTCGTCGACGAGACGGTTGCCACCGAAGAACATTGCGCTGGGGTGCGCGGAAGACCTCGAGTTGTCCATCTGATATTACGTTAGCGTTAGTTAACAGTCGCGGGGGTTGAACCTTACCGCGGCGGAGACGTGCGATGCAGATATATCTGTTATTATAAGTTAGTATGCTATTAGGTCTTTGTTGAGCTTCTCTCTAAAGCATGTAGCATCGTAGTCATAGGTAGACTGCTACCCCGCCGTCATGCTTGTGTATACTCGCGACGGCGCGACCGTAGTCTGATCGAATACCTCGAGGCGACTGCGAGACAGTCGAAGAGCATTGAGAGACCTACCGGTACGTGTGTGTCGGTAGCTGGGGTCCTTATTACAAAGGTGGCGTTGAGAGTGGTGCGGTGATTGTGTTGGGAGCACGAAGCAACAGGCAGATCTGCCTGGAAATGCTCGGACGATTTGTTTGCACCTCCGCACTCACGCCCATTACCTTGTACTTTGCCACCTCTTAGGAGCAGCGCATGCGACGCCACTAACCGCTGATGCATCCGAAATCTCTCTTACCCATTGAGCCAGTTCATCTCTCCGAAGGCAGTCCTCGCATACAGATCAATATCCCCAATTCCTGATACGGCTCAGACGGAATCGCTGTTTAACGAGTTCCGCGAACGAAGACAGGCCATGTCCTACTGACACAATGCTTCTCGAGGAAGTCGGCCGTTCCATCAGCGTCAGCTTTGCGTACAGGACTTATTGGTCAAAGGCGGGGGGATGCAGCAAACGGCTAGACCGCCATTCGGTTGTTTGATGGTGCTCGTAGTCACAGAATCGAAGGAGGTAAGGTGGGCTCAAGCTACACAGACTGTCTGTAGGAAGCCTGCGAGAGTGACTTCTATCACGAAAAGCGACGCCTCTGAAGCTTCTGACATAGTAGGCCGAGTCACATTCGTGCTCGCATAGACGTGTCGGTACATAGTCCGCTGTGTTGTGACTTGCTCAAGTTCAACTCGACTGTTCCTTCGGTATACTCTTCCAGTATGCCTCGTGCTTCTGAGATTGAGATGTATTCCGTCGACACGGTAAGCTTCTACGTGTGTAGCGTGCAATGGGCTGGCGAGCAATGTCAAGCTTGAAGGCGAGCACAATGTCTAACGCTTGTGGATTGCTGCATAACACCTGCAGCATAGTTCCACAAAGAGACGTTAGGTCTCACAAACATAAGAATGCCTAGAGAGCTAAACATGTAGCCGAGTCAGCCGCCATACGCGAGGCTGTCTCGCATGTAGTCTAGGCGAGCTGCTACAAAGCCGTTACCCTACAAAACTCGGGCCGACTGACTCCTTCAACTACAAACCATACCATTGCACTAGGCCTCTAATCGTGTTGAGACTTCTACCTCTAAGGATTTGGAAACGTTGTGCCTGAAGCCATCAGAAATTGGTGGCTTGTTAAAGTTAGCGGGACATACGTCATCACTCCCTGACTTCCCTGGCGTTGTCCACGCGACAGCCCGCGCATCTTGGTTATCTCACATGCACGCCCCTCGTGCACATACCTGCAGGAGATCTCCAGATCTCCAGATTCCATTTTCTTCTTTGAACAACATGCACCCGGACTCGTTGTTGTCTACTGCAGTCTTCACCACACTACCAATTGACTGACGATGAACGACCCCGGCCTCGACGAGCCAGCAGGCGCAGCAGCGCAAGATGTTAATGACACAGTCCACGACGAGGACGAGCAAGCCGAGCAGGAAGAGCGGGAATATCTCGATCCAAGTTATGTCGCTCAGTACATCGACATCACTTTGCGTACGCTGACAAACCCAGTCAATGGTGGTTTGCCTCCACAGCGAGTCCCCTCATAGCAGGAACATTCGGCCCCATCGCCAACGGCTTCTCCATCTGCGCTCTCGTTGAAAAATGGAGAGTATACATCCCGCCTGGAAGCGACGAGGGACACGGCTCGAAGATTACGGATCCGAAATGGCTTATCGCGGTCAACTCGGTCTCGCTCGTCTTCGCCTTGAGCGCCAACATCAGTTTGCTGCTCAACATGTCAAGACGACTAACGTTTGAGATTGCGCAACCTATTACCATTATCGGCTTCTATCTGGCTGGTTTCCTTTTGATGGCGCTCGTGGGGGTCGCTTCGTCATCTGTGTTCCGGATTCAGCCTATGGAAGAACATGCTCTAAGCCAAGCTTATTACTACGCTATCATCGCTGCAGGTATCTACTTCATTATCGCCTCTCTTATGGCCTTTACTGCTTTCGGGGCGTGGAAGGGCCATTACGCTAGAGACTTCCGGCTGACGGCCAGTCAGAGGACGCTGATGCTGCAGACAATCGCCTTCATGGTTTACCTGCTTATCGGCGCTCTGATATTCTCATACGTCGAAGGCTGGATGTTCCTGGATGCAGTGTTCTGGGCCAACTTTACCCTGCTCACAATAGGTTTCGGCGGAGAGTTTGTGCCTAAAACGCATACCGGTCGCTCACTGCTGATTCCGTATGCAATTGGTGGCCTAGTCACCGTTGGTCTGGTCATTGGTTCCATCCGATCCCTCATCCTAGAACACGGAAAGCAAAAGATGGCTGCTCGCTTCATGGAGGTCAAGAGACAAAAGGTCCTCAAGTCTATCGATGGCGACACACAAACAATCCGCATTTCACTATGGGAGAAGGTCGAGTTCTCCTCCAAAGGCTTAACAGAAGCCCAAAGACGAGAGCAGGAATTCCACATCATGCGCCGGGTGCAAACACTATCCGAGCGCAAGAGGCGATACACCGCCTTAGCCCTATCAACCACAGCAGCAATGCTCCTCTGGTTCCTAGGCGCCCTAGTATTCATGTACTCCGAAAAGCCGCAAGGATTCAGCTACTTCGTCGCCCTCTACTACGCCTACGTCTCGCTCCTGACAATCGGGTACGGAGACTACGTCGTCGAAAGCAACGCAGGAAAAGCCTTCATGGTCTTCTGGAGCCTCCTCGCCGTCCCCACACTAACCATCCTCATCTCGAACATGGGCGACACAGTCATCAAAGCCTTCAAAGACTTCACCATCTGGCTCGGCTCGCTCACCGTCCTCCCAGACGAAGAAGGCCTCAGCGCCGCTCTCAAAGTGGGCTGGACGCGCATCAAATCCGGCAAGATTGGCGAAGAAGAGAAGGAGAAAGCAAGCTCTGCCGGCTCCACTGAAAACCGCACAGAAGACAGACTAGCAGCCTACATCGAAGAAGAAGAACTAGGCAAAGCAACAGAAGCCGACTCGCACGGCGACTACCTCGAACGCGACATCCGCTTCTACCACTTCGTCCTCGCAAAAGAAGTCCGCAAGCTGATGAAAGACGTCGAAAGCTCAGCGGCAAAACAATACGAGTACCACGAGTGGCAGTACTACCTGCGGTTAATCGGCCAGGACGAAAACGATCCTTCGCACCACCGCCAGCCTAAAGCGAATACGCCGCATAAACATGACGATGGTGAAGCTCCTGATATCGGGTCTGCGGATGACGGCAAGAAGCATGCTTGGAGTTGGCTGGGGATAAGGAGTCCGCTTATGGGGAATCAGTCTGAGCCGCAGTGGTTGTTGCAAAGGTTGGCGATGAAGCTGGAATCAGAGATGCGCAGGATGAGTTCGTCTGACGAGAAGGTGAGGAAGGCGAAACCACCTATCTCCATGGCGGAGTTGAGGAAGAGGAAGGGGAGTGGGAAAGTATCGGAGGAGACGCAGACGAGGACGTTACAGGAGGATGTCGAGGCTACGGCGCTTAGTCAAAGGGCTGTTAAGAGTGGTTGATGGAGTGAAGGGAGATGGCAAACGTAGACTTGGTGTATCTTCGCATTGTTAGAGCTTCAAAGATAGAATCGATAATGGATTACAAAGATAAGGTACGAGGGTGATGTATCTTGAGTAATGGCCCATCAGAAACACTGGACTCTTAATCAAACACAAAGCAGTACGAAAACGTCACACGAGAAGATAAAATGAGCAGTTTGGTGGCCTTGGGCCCAACAATCATACTTCAACTAGCGAAACGACACTAAACAATACAAACAGAATCATGCTTTGACAACATCATCAACCCAGCGCAGTCCTCCTCCTTTCTTCCGACGACTCAGAGACGACTCAGAGATCGCGCAGCTGCTGGCGCTTTGAGTAGAAGGTGGTGTAGGGCGTAGGCGCAGATCTCCCGACGACAGTGACCGTGTCGCAGGGTGGCTCGGGGGCGACGGTGACCGTATCGCAAGGTGGCTCGGGGTCGACGAAGACGGTTTTGATGAAAACAGGTGCGGGGGTGGTGGTGCAGGGTGGCTCGGGGGCGACGGTGACGGTTTTAATGAAAACAGGTGCGGGGGTGGTGGTGCAGGGTGGCTCGGGGTCGACGTAGACGGTTGTGATGGAGTAGGGTTCGGTGGTGCAAGGTGGCTCGGGGGCGGCGATTATGGTTGTGGTGACGGCTGCAGGAGGGAACTTATGAGTGACGGTGACTAACGGCGGTGCGGTGATAGTCGTAACGGTGACCATGGGAGGAGCCGAGATGGTGGTGATAGTAACCACGGGTTGAGAGCCAATGACCGTGACGACGGACGGAGGAGCGACGGTGACGATAGCCGGAGGATAAACCGTGGAGGTGCTAAAGATCACAGAGACAGTAGAGTAAGGGAGTTCGATGGTCTTCGTCTCTGGATTGGCGTCGATGAACTGCACTTGCTGCTTCGGGGTGCACTTCTTCATGTCTTCCTTGGGTTTTTGGATTCGGACTTCTGACCCCTTCGATCCACGCTCCTCCCATTCAGCATCTGCGCACATCTCTGTGTTAGGATACCACGGGTGGGTGAGTCTGACGGCCCTGTGGAATGAGCGGCGTTCCAGATCGGCTTCCTTCTGGCCGAGCGTAATGGTCTGCATTGGCTGAATTGGGTTGCCGCCGACGACCGTTGTAATCGCATGCCCAGCCGTTACTGTAACGACTGACATGCTGGTGATCGCTGCACCCTGGGTTACCGTGACATCTGGAGTGTGTGTGATGGTGACGGTTTCGTTGGGATCAGGTACCGGGCCCTCGCATGAGACGGGGTTGTTCGGTCCAGAGCGGCACTCGAACTTCCACAGATTGTCATGAGCTTTGGCGTAGCATTCGTAGCAAATGACCGCCTGAGACCAAGGGTGCTTCATCCATACACCAATCCGAGGGCCCTTCCACTTGCTCCTGCGGCGTGGCTCCAGAGCATGGGCCTCGGGCTGAGGGTCGGAGCGACGCTCGCGGGGGTAGTGGCTGTCTTCGACATAGGCGGTTACGGTATGGGGCCGAGAGCTAGGAAGCACGGTTCCGGTCTCTATCGGGGTGATAGTCTCTATGGAGGTCGGCATGATAGTCACCATGGAGGTGGGGACGGTCCTCTTCGTAGAATACAAAGTCTTGGTGGAAGTCGTCAAGATAGTAGAGACGTAGTTGGTAAAGGAGCTGCCGGCGTGCATCCATGTCGTGAGATAGCCAACAATCCCAACCTCGGTGACCACGGTGGAAGTTGTGATCGGCTGCGGATAGACGGTAATGGTATTGTTCGGCTGCTGATAGACGGTAATGGTATCCTTCGCTTGCTCAATTACCGTAATGGTGGTTGTGGCCGGTTGTTCAATTACGGTAATGGTGGTTGAGGCCGGTTGTTCAACTACCGTAATGTAGGAAGTTGAGATCGGCTGCGGAGCTACGGTAACGATGGTGGGTGGTGTCACCACGACGGTAGTCGTAAAGTTCTCTGACTTCGCGTCTCGACATCCAAACATCATGGAGAGAAACTGTTCGGGTGGTGACAAGCACTGATCGATGGCCCCAGGGAGTCCTTCGGCAATTGATGGGTAGCCTGCGCAGCCATGATGCTTGTATGTGGCGACCCAGCACTCTTGCTGTCCGAGGTTGATCTGGTTGAGCCAGTCCTGGTGCTTGTTCGTGGAAGGCCTCATGCTGTTGGCGCCGCTGACGATGTCGTGACACTTGTTGGGCTTGAGGTCCTCGTTGCCGCCGATAGTTGGTCCATTGCAGTCGTCGCTGGTGAAGAGGTACGTGCGTATTTCGCTCTTGATCTTGGCCTGGGCGAGGGGAGATAGGAGTGCGAGGACTGCACTCGCGACGACGAGGGTGGAGCGAGGCATGGTCGGGGAGCTCTGCTTTGCGTTAGTGAAGGTTCAAGCTGTGCCGGAGGGGAGAAAGAGAAGAAGAGTGAGAAGACGTACGGGCAGTGGAGTTCAACCGCAGCTCAGTTCGACGATGACAGCTCAGTTCGGTAAGAAGGATCGACTAAGTGCATTAGCACTTGTTGATGTAGAGCAAGACGAGGCGACCCACTCAACCAAAAGGCAGGATAGGAGTTCGACTGAGGCTGTAGTTCAAAGGTATGATGTGACCCTGTGATGTGTCAGTACACATGCTCTGAGTAGTATCGGACGGGAGAGCAAGTCGAAGGGGTTGGAGTGCCGGCATGGTACAAAGCAAGGGCGGGGACGAGAAGCAAAAGGTAGACGTACCAACTGAGTTGAAAAGCGGTGCAAAAGAAGCAACTGTCGAATGGTACTGTTGCTGTTGGGTGGTTGGGTGAAGAAGAAGAGAAGAGACGGGTGAGGAAGCGGAATTATAAGGGTCTCGAAGACGCGCTAGAGCCAGATCTCGGGCTTCGTCACCGAGATATGCTTGAAGAAGGCAGCTTCGGTGGGTTGGGGAAAGAAGATGGTCCACATCGTGTGGTTGCTGCGCTTTGTATGGTGGGACGACGAAGTCGAGGCGTCTGCGGACGGTTGAGCTGGGCAGGAAGTTAGCAGGCAAGGTAGTCGCGCCTAATACTGCAGGCAGTCATATCAGCTCGCTGGACTGATGAGGAAAGAACAGTTGACTGATCTAGCAACGACAAGCCCTGGATTCCAGGGTTGTCATCACACTTGTTGATCTTCTCAGGCATCTCCCCCCAGATATGTGCAAAGCGAAAGGTTGGATCATTCTAGAGGATAGGGCGTAGCTGGAATTGAGTACCGGTTGAAGTTGCAGTGACGTAACGGTCAGATCTAGCTGAGAAAGGTGGCCAGGTAAGATGAGATCGCGGCGGAGGAAGGCATGGAAATGGTGAGAGCGGCCGTTCGGAAAGTGCAGCCTCGACAGCAATCCTAGGAAGGAGCTGACAGGTACGCTCGACAGGAACCCTACATGGAGTAAGCTTAGAGAGTTCAGATGGACGATGAGTATAGCGGAAAAGCGTAGCTGAGACCTGTGATGTTTACCATGTTGGGATCCATCGATACAAGTGAAGCCACATGCAGATAGTAAAGATGAAGCACGCCTCACAAACCGATAACAATACTTCCCATTCTTTGTCTAACCACCAACCATACCAATCCAACCTATACCCGCGTATCCAACGCCCAAACGCCTCACCCCTCCCTCAAAATCTCCCTCACCACTCCCCCCACTCATCATCCTTCTTCGCCCCTCCACCACCCATCCCCCCACCAGCACCCCCCTTCTTCATAGCACTCGTCCCAATCCCACTCGGCTTCTTCCCAGCCATACCCCCAGCACCACCCGCCCTAACCTCCCCCGCACTCCCAAACTCATCCCAAAAGTCCTGTTTATCCTTCGACGGGCCCGCCGGCGCAGCACCAAAGCTCTCCCAAAAGTCCTTACGCTCAGGTTCGCGCTGACCCGACAACGGGGCCCGAGAAGAGGAAGAAGAAGAAGAAGGGTGTGCAGAGTCGCCTCCTTCGACGAAGCGGGTGAATTGACTGTTTGCGTTTGCGACGCCGGATTGGAGGGTTTGGCCGAGGGTGCCGGCTGTGGTGCGGGCTTGGGTTGCGAGGTCTGCTTCTGCGAGCTGGAGCATGGTGTGTTAGTCGTTTGTTTATGGGTTTGGGGTGATGTGTGAGGAGGGGAGATGTACCTTTGCCATACCGGGTTTCACCCAGCCTTCATACCCCGTTTTGCCTACTTTACTCACGCTTGCGCCTAGCCAGCCAAAGCCCTTGGTAAGCGCCGCAACAGGGTCTTTCTGGAAGTCGTCCAGCGCAGGTGGGGCACCGGGCTCATCGTCCTTCTTCCAGGCATCTGGCTCGCTGCCGAAGCCGCCGTATTTTCCGCCTTGGTTCGGCGCAACGCCATCGGGTCTACTAGCGTTTTCCTGGCCCATCTTAGCGAAGTAGGCTTCGTTCTTTACTTTCTGACTAGACATGGCGTTGGTGCCGAGAGCGGGGGAGCCCGAGCGCTGGAAGCCTGCGTCGTTGCTTCGTGTCTTTCCGAGGGGTGTCTGGCTTCGGCTCCCGGCTGCGCTGGCTCGTCCGCTCAAGGGCGCGCCTATGCCAGCTGTAGATACATTATCCTTCTTGGGTAACCGCTTGGGCAGGTTTGCCTTGTCGAACTCCCTGTCCTCGACCTTACAGCTGAGTCTCTCCTTCCACTCGTCGCCCGCCTCCGAATCGTATCGCTCTGATATGGACGAGGCCTCGAATGTGCGTCCGTCTTTCGTGTTCGAAGGATGTGTGTTGAAGAAGTCTTGGAAGGGCTTGTTGCCACCGGCAGCCATGCGCACGAGTTCCGAGCCCTTGAAGGCGTCCATGGTGATGCTGCGGATGAAGGAGATGTGCACGCCCAGACCGCGGTGCACGCCCGAGCAGGAGAGGCACATGAAGATGCCGAGCTTGGGCGAGGCCTAGGACAGTTCATCTTAGTAGGTGTAGGCGGTGATCGCGTGCGCTGGTGGAGGAAGGGCGGTTGCATACCCATTGCGGACTCGGCGCATTGCAGTCGACGCACTTATTGTTGTCGTTGGTCTTTTGTATCTCGAGCAACTGCGTACGGAATTGATTAGCCTCTGTCATATGCGCATGCTCGACTCATCACCTGTGCTGCCTTCACGCCGCAATTGACCCCTAACGACCCCCTCCTTCAGCTGTAGAAGGCGCAACGTACCTTACTCCGCGTCTCGGGATCCACCTCCCACATTTTGCTCATGATGGGCAACCGAGAAACTGTGCGACCGTAGTGGAATAGAAGGTGAGGTCTGGTTCCAGGCTGGGGGAACGTGGATGGGGTCGGTGTTGGGGTCGAGATTCAGGGTACGTGGGCCTAAGAACGCGTGGCGCGTGTGCAGTTGAGCCTCACAGGGATCTGCGTGATTTGGGTATCCACGCAGTCAAGTCCACCACGTCCGATACTGTCGCTTTTGTCGCGACATCATTCCTATATTTTTTCGTCTGCCTCAGCGGAGAATATATTATGGATGTGTTGAAATAATGGCACCGTAAAATCGTGGAACAGGCTACTTCGGTAGTATTCTTGTAACGCATGTTGAGCAGCATGTACGCAGAAAGCGAATAAGCAGTTTGTATAGAAGAAGCAAAAAGAAAGCTATGTTCGCAGTAGTGAGTGCCGGAACAAGCTTGCATTCAACTGCACTTCCTGACCTCAACCAACTCCGCGTGGCTGAATACATACGTTCTCGCATGCTACCTGATATCCTATCTACAAAAAAAAGATAACATCCTTCCAGTCCCCAGAAACCACATCCCTCACTCAACCTTCCAATCCACCTCCCATCGATCAATCATCGCCATCACATCACCTCACATCCCTCTTGTTGGCCCCCTCGCTGCAAGATGCTAATCTCATCCTCGATATCCTGCCTCGTCAAGGGGCGACCTCCGCCAGGTTGAGGATCCGAAGCTGGCGGCGCATCGTCATTATTGTCGTCATCGTTACCAGACTCTCGGATGCATTCTTCTCACACTAAACGAAGTTCTTTTAAAGTGCGCTTTTTGCTACTATACTCTCGCAATTACACTTATCTCTTAGCCTTTTAGCTACTATAGTTTAATACATAACTTAAATTAATCTAAATCTCTACTGCGTTCTAGCTACTTAACTTGCAATCGCTACTCTTACGCTTTCTGTCCTGTTTGCAGCTGCTACAATCGCGCTCACCACCCAATTATACCAGACTCTCCGTCCTCGTTTTCCTCGTCATACTCATCTTCCTCCTCCTCGCTGTCATACTGATCTTCCGGATTGAAATGAGGCATACCCGGCAACTTGAACATCCGCTCCTCAGCCATCATCGTTCTCATCTTTTCCTCGATTTCTTGTAGGGTCAGGTTGCTAGTGCTGGGTAGGGGTTCCAGGGCTGGCGGCGGCGCGTCATCGTTGTCGTTGTCGTTGTCGTTGTCGTTGTCGTTGTCGTTGTCGTTGTCCGAGTCGTCTTCATCTTGCTCGCCATCGCCATCGTTCGACCCTTCTTCGTCATCTTCATCATCATCATCATCATCATCATCATCTTCATCATCCCCACCCTCGGGTCTATAACCAGGCATACCAGGCAAATTGAAGATCAGTCCCTGACCCATCATGATCCTCATCTCATTCTCGATATCCTGCATGGTAAGCGGGCGGCCGGGGCCAAATTGAGTGTTCGAGCCTTCTTCATCATCATCTCCATCCTCCTCATTATCGTCGTTTGTTGGCGGCATACCAGGCATACCCGGCATCCGTCCCTGAGCCGCAAGAATACCCATTTCCTCCATGATATCTTGCATATTCAGTGGTCGGCCACCAGCACTGGGATTAGGAGTCTCGTCATCGTCGTCGTCGTCTTCCCATTCGTCTTCATTGCCATCTTCCTCTTCCTCATCATCATCACCCTCTTCCTGATTATTCTCCTCTCCATCCTCATGCTCACTCCAAACATCGCCATTCAGCTCATCCCCCCTATACGAGTTCCCAAATCGTGCCACCCACGGGTTCTCCCCCTCCCCCTCATCCTCACCCAGAAACTGCACCCAGACATAGTCTTCTTCAATCTTGCTCGAAGCACCAACGCGCGTTTTGGTGTACCAACTTTCAGAGTCGCCCATAGTATCATGTTCCGACACAATCTTTACCCCTACCTGCGCATACGTAGACTGGAGGGCAGCGATGCGCGTCTGGCATGGAAAGGTGCCTAGTTGCGGGTGCCAGCCAAGGAACGTAATGGCTTCGAGATCAGGGAGGAGAGTTTTGATATCAGAGGCCAGGGTGGGCAAGACATCGAAGCAGGTTTCCGTCACGTCGTGATAACCCGTCTTGGTTGAGATGCGCAGGTTTTTGAGATGCTTGGGCAGGTTCCCGAGGTTTCGTTGGA